CGCACCGATAATACTTGCAGACCATAACTACAACTCCTAACTGGACACAACTTCCTCACGGGGAGAAAGATATTCTAATGTTTCGTTATGTTTTAAGCATTTACAAATGTAAGTCAAACAAGGGGAGGTTTCCCCAACTGAGCTTATTCTAGTCCTTACAAGAAAACATTAAAAGAGGGGTGTGTGTTCCTTTCCACATATTTCTTTGCCTGACTCCAACCTTTAGAGTTGAAAGTGCACAGCAAGAGAAATTTCCACAGGAATTATCCAAAATCTGCTGTTATGACAGAATTTTAGGATGCATCCTCTAGTCCCCACAGACGTTAACTTCCAGTTGTGCTACAGAATCTCCAGTGGAGAAACCATCAGAGCCCTGGTAACACCAACACAAAGGTGCTTAATGCTGCCAGTTTTGCATGTAAGAGAGCCACAGCAGACCCTGGTGACTGTAAAGAAAAGTGCCAATGTCTTAGTAAGATAACTGGAGCACTGAGATACTGCAATCTAAAGTAACAAGAAAGATACTTCTAATGTCTGTGTATTATGGTCTGCAATATTTATGTCATTTTATAATTTTATGTCACAACTTCTAAGCCCTTTTCTGTTAATATATTAAAGGAACAATATTAGTTTTTCAGCTTCTTGAGATTTATTATTTGAGATGCATCTTTTAGAGGATGCATATTCTAGATGCATCTCAAAAAATAAAAACCAGGTGGCATGACACAGATCTGCACAAAGGAATGGTTTTACTCTGAGATGCCTGTAAGTGACAAACAGTCAGTGCAGAAATCACTGAAAGAAGTGGTACAAAACTACAGAATTAAAAGCTGACCACTGCTGTGAGATTACTGTAGAAGATGCTGAAACTAAGTCATACACAGACAGCATGCAATAGAACACCAAAGGTCTGAGGAGAATGTAATCCATAAAGCGCGATACAGGACTGTTTAAAAGGTACAAATTTAGCATTCCTGGTTGAGGATAAAGACAAACCAACCACAGATTACTAAGCAACCACAGAGATCAAATTCAAGGCTATTGTTTCAACAAAGCATCACCATGTAAATACAGGTACACTGCACACTTAAAAGAAAAAAAGAAAAGAAAGTTTTAAAGTATTTGTGCAGAAGGTTTAATTGTTCTGGGAAATGCAGAGCTTTTCCTTTCTAAGCTACCAGTTAAACCATTTTCAGGTATCAAAAACTAATGATACATCTGTCCACGGTATAACTACTAAGAAACACTGATGAAGACATGAAGAGATGTTCTGGGGAATATTTGATACAGCAGTTCACGAAAACTACCAAAAAACCAAATACAAACAACAACAACAACAACAAAAGCCCCAACACTGGAAAACTGCAACTGGTTCTGACACAAGATGTGTGTGTCCATGGGAAATGCTATTTGTGTTCTTGTAAGAGTAGAACAAAGTGACAACTGCAGTAAACTCCATTTTAAGATACTGACACACTGCAACTAAAAAAACTGTAATTTGTAGTCTTAGAAAAACATGTTGCTGTCCAGCACAAAGCCCCTTCCTCCACAGGCTCCCTCTGCTCTGGGTGCTGCGCACCTCCACACCTCTCCTGAGTTCTGAATGCTTTGTGCCAGGTCAGGCAATCAGATCACCCCAGCGCATCACAGGCGACGCGACTGATCTAGGAAGCCTCACCCCAAGATGACTTAGAGAGCCACTTCCAGAGGGAAGGTTTACTCATTTCCATGGGCAAGTCAGCCTCTGACATGAGCTGCTGCTCCTCCTCCTGGGGCAGACTGGGCACACCCTGGGGCACAGGGATTGAGCCCCGTTGCCCAGACCCATGCTGCACAGCACTGCATGACAACAGTACAGCCAACCCTCGGCCAACAGGGTCGCAAGGTCTGTTCTGGACTCACACTAGATGGACTTTGTCTAGAACTTTATCCAGTCTGTAGCAGCACTTTGTGAAGGGCACCATATCTCTACACCCCCCCCCCCCACACCTTTCAGTGCAACTTCAAGCTTCACCAAAGACAGAAAAACTGCAGTTAATCACTTGTGAATCTCATTCTTATCAGTTACGGATCTTTTCCCATGTGGATGTGGGAAGCTGTCTTGCACTCCCTTTAAAATACCATGGCCATGGGGAACAGGCATTGTATGCAGGAGTTAACCAGATACTCATCTCAATATCTCCATGAAATAATAACTCCTTTAAAGTATATTGCTGAGTTTGCAGAACCTTTACATGGGGTTTACACTCCCAGGTTATTTTAATGAGACTGAAAAGTTAAGAAACCATTATGGAAAAACTCCAGCTTCAGAGGAGCTAAAGGGGGAGATTAGACTTCTTGACACCATCCAAATCTTGGATGCTTGAGAGCTTTCGAATCTGAGGCCAAAAATACAAATAAAGCGTAACATTTTGCACTATTTCTGATTATAAATGTATTTAAATTGTTGCTCAGCACACTCAGGATATTCTAGTACTTCATCACTTGTCTGTGAAGTTAAGGTCAAGAAAATACTACTCTACAGCTGGGCGAGGTGTCAGTAGAACATCTGTAAGTGGATCCAAAACTGCTATGAAAAAGCCTGTTTCAACTGTACCTGAATTCAACAGAGCACACCAGAGAAATTATACAGCAGGTATATACAGCATCAACTCACTGCCGCTCTCTAGCAACAAATGGTGTAGTATTTTGTTAAATTCATTTGTAGTCTCTCTCAAATGCCTTTAAAAAGTTTAAAGTTCTACAGTGTTGGAGAAAGCAGATATGAGACCTAAGGCTTGGCAGCGTGAGGTCTTTGGAGAACTGTGCAGACGCGAGACTCTTCAGAGGAGCAGAGAGAATCGGGGGGGGAGGTGCAGTTTGTGAAGGGAGCTGTGTTCCCTCCTTTTCAGGAAAGGCAGGAGTATTCCATTCCTGAAAAACTTAATTTCACAGAAGAAAATAAGTGTGCATGTGGCTCTTTGTGCTGTATCCACTTTAACTTAATGTTGTTGAAATGAGACTGTTACAAGCTTGTAAAGTATTACCCTTAGGCACCTTTCAGGTTAAAACGTGTGGGATGAGTAACAGACAAGTAAGAGAACTCACCAACTCCTGCTCAGTTTCCAGACAACTTGAAACAGATATGTACAATTAAAAGGAAAAAAAAAAAAGAAAAGATTCAGCAATTCCCATAAAAATGTTAGAAACTTGACTGAAAATAAACCTCAGGTTTTTGACTGGATGATGTGGCAATCTGTACTTGCATCATAACACTTGCTGGTACCTATCATTTACACAGAAGACCAGGTACAACATTTAACACTCTGCCAGTCTTGTTTAACCCTTCTGCTCCTTGCAAACACATTTTACCTTATGTGCATAGCTGAGTGAAATGAAGTTTCATTACAGTTATGTTTATATAAAGAAATATCAACAGGCTCTAATGGAATCCAAGTAAACCCAAGCACAGGGCTTCCTAGCAGAAGTATTTGCTAAGCCACCCCATCCAGGATAGGTTTATGCATCTTCACGTGCAGGTCCCAGAAAGATGAAGCAAAAGGTCTGCATCAGTCAGGTAAGCTGCTGGTTTGCATTTGTTGTTGCTTGTTCGTTTGCCTGTTTGTTGGATATTTTTGGTTGGTTGGTTGGGTGTTTTTTGGTGGTTGTTTGTTTTAAATGATGAGAATAAAGCTGCAGTTCTGGGCAAGGGTGTGATGTAGTAGCCAAATGTCCTATTTCCCAAAGGGAGTCAGCCCCTCACTCATACCACAAAGCCCAGTCCTTTCCCACTCTCTGAGAGTGGTCAGAAATGCCTCTGCTGCTGGCTTTTCTTGTCCCTGCCTCTGTCATCCCTGCACCTCTTGGGTGCCCGATTCCTGTTTCTTCCAGTCTTTGTCCATATCTCCTCAGGAGTAAATTCTACAAGCTGACTTTAGGACACTGCTCCTTATTGCTTAAGTTCACTGTGAAGGCAAATTACAATTACTGCCAATTTTTTTAAAAGCAGCACAGGTATCATGTTGAAATGGACGTTGCTGGACGAAAAAAGCAATTTTAGAATAAATTCCAGATATTAAGCACGATCAAACTGTTTAAATCCTTTGTGCTATTATTACATTTTTTTTTTCATGGTGGACAACAAAAAGTTTCTGAATTGTCCATAAAAAGAGTGAACAGATTATTGCTGAAAGGTCTTTTCCAATCTAAATGATTCTGTGTTTCTATTCTGTGAAAGAACCTGCATCCCACTGTTGTTCTTTTTATCCATGGAAATACAAATCATGCCTTTGTTAAGACCTACTCTAAAAATAATTTATACTTTTGATCTGATTCTGTGTAACACTAACACACAATACAAAACAATGATAATTTTAAAAATAAATACCTATAGTCTCTTCAGGAATAAGGCTACATCTTAAGACTAATTTAGGTCCATTAAATCTCCCTTAGCTTGAACAGGCAACCACTATGTAAACAAAAACTTAAAAGACAAATGTTGAATTTCTATACAGAAAAGAGCTTTGCCCCTCTCCTGTGAACTTCAGATAATATATTCTTCATAAAATGGAAGTTGTCGTTACTGTAAGTACTTTACCACTTGAAACAAGGCTGAAGAAAATGTAACTGACCTAGACCAGAAACATACACTAAATACAAATCCAACAGAAGTGTATTTTTAAATAGCATACATACAAATGGTAGATATTTACCTGCTAAACATCCATATGCAAACATGATTCAGTGAACTCCTTCAAAGCATACAAGTGAGCCTATTAAAATTAACTGCCTATTAATATACTACAGTAGCCTGCTAAATAAGAGCCTGCATTTCACAGCATTCACAGTGCCAGATTCTCAGTAACAGCATATTGACAATATAGGCTGAAACGGTCTCTTTTCTTTCCTTCTCCCTCTTCCCCCCTCCAACATCCAAAAAGTAAACCATACACAGTATATGACAATATATCTAAACCTTTAATGCAGAAAATGCTAGTTTAGACAGGGGTCCTCCAACTTACCTGTGGCTTGGCAGAAGAGGCGAAAGGGTCCCCGGGCACTAACATGCTGTGCCTGTTCACTTAAGAAAGGTGGCAACAACATGATCTTTACAGAGTCTGTGCTAGACCAAACATCAGGCTGGGTACTGGTGGGTGAAGGAGATGAGTCACTCCCAACACAGGACAAAAAGGAGGTACCAGTAGGAGGGAAAGGTATAGGAGATGAGGCTGTGTGACAGAAGAGGACAGAAAAGAAAAAAGAGGGTACACTAAGGAAAGAAGTTGTAAGAAATACATCACACTGAAGAAATAATGCAGAGACACAAATGAATTTTAGAAGAGTAGTAAAAGGAAGTATTCCAAAGCCGCTAGAGAAGAGCGCTTTCTTCCTTCACCCACATTTATTTTTCCACCCTTCCACCCTGCCCTGGGTTATAACCCATTCAATTAAAGTTGAGAAGAGAATCTGCTCCAAACTGAAACTTCTGTTAACTGCTTTTCACTCCTTAAAGGAAACCACAAGGAGCATCAATCAGTATTTGCAATATGGAAAGTAGTGTCACTGTGTCAAGTTTCATAAAAGTCAAGGTATAATACAATTTATTTTAATATTTATTCTGTTATATGTACATAATTAAAAATAGAAAAATAAAACCAAACTGAATCTTATAAAATATAAACTGTTTACACTAAGATGGTCTAAATTGTATTCACGTGAAAGTTCAACATAGAAAAGCAGCCCAGGCATACTGTTTACTGTTAAAACGTACTCTACTTCTAGCAATATTTACAGAAAGATGCAGTGAGAGGAACAATTCTTCAAGACTGTACCGCACAAAATGCTTTTACAGACAAACAGTGCTGCTGTGAACCAGGCTGAGAACAAATGCACACTTTCACGATTGCAGGCATGATTCACATAAAGAGTTCAAACTGATTGTTTTGAGCAGCTCCAGTTTCAGTCTCCAGCTGCATAGGAGATTGGGAAGGTGTCATCCAGAAAGGGTGACACTGCAAAGATTTGTCACAAAAAGAAGCAGAGTTATTTCTGAATCTGAAAAAAAGAAAAAGAATCGGCAATGTTTTCTCATCAGGCTGTATCCTAACAGTCCATTCCAGCGAGTCACTAGCTGAATTATTGTAGTTAATTCTTCTTTATTCCAGCTCTGCTTCCACCGTGCAAAAACCTCTCTGCGTCACTGCTGATACCTGCTTGCCTGCACTGTTTCATGAAAAAAAAACCAACAAAATAAAATAAAGCCAAGAAGGGAAAAAAAAAAATAAAAAAAAAAATCAAAGAAATTCAGTCTTGTACACAAAACAGAATATGATTGTGTCCAGCTTGCTGGCTGGGGGGGGTGGGGAAGGGAAAAAATATAAGAAAAGAGCATTCCTAAACCTATTACTTCCTCCCTCCCCCCACTTACTCGATGTTTTGTACTGATACTGTTGTACCTAAACTGCTAGAAAGCAGCGAAGAAAGAAAGCCTTTAAACAAGATTATCCCTGAGTCTTACACAAATCAAGGCAATGCTATCCCCATTATTCCTTAAAATCTCAGATACTTAAAAAGCAGTTAAAAAAATTAACTTTAAACAACTAAAGAGACCTAGTGTGTCAAAACACAAAGCATAAAAGTAAAAGTAATCACTAGAAGCAAAGAGAAAAAAAAAAATGTCCCAATCTGGACAAAGTCTATAATTTACCAATCTGATAAACTAAACTTAATTTCCAATTTGGAATTAAAATGAAACTAGGTCTTTTTAATGTCAGCGAAAAATATGTGTAGACTGAAGTACTTTTTAAAGCCAACTGAATTAGAAAATTACTTTTATCCTATTGGAAGAAGGCTGAAGAACAAGCAAATAACTGTTCACGAGAGCAAAGCACTCTTTGGGGGTAAAATTGGGAACAAACAAATGGTGATCTGAAACTGGCCATTTAAAAAAAAGTGTAAGACAGTACAACACAAGATGCTATGGTCTGCAGACAAGAACACTACTTCTCTAAACTGGTGAGATCTGAATGCTAATTGGCTTGCTGTACAGCATAAGTATGTAATCCCCACTATGGCTCAGCAGTCACACCCACGCTCTCTGTGCTCAAATAGCTAGCCACGGGACCACGGCCGACTTCCACCACTCAATCAGACAATTGGGTCCTTCAGTCCCCATCTGCGTCCGAGTCAGCATACTTGAGCTCACACTTGACATCGAAGGGCTTGTCCTTCGCTTCTCGGGATGCCTGCGAATCCCCAGCCTGCAGCTGGCCGTTCCCACAGTCGGGCTCAGTCTCATAGCCAGTGTCATGCGCTGGCTTTGGCTGCTCCCCGCTCTGGTGGCTGACGCTGCCTTGCTCCACCAGTGTCTCCTTCACACTTTGCTCACAGTCAGAAAAATCTGACTTTTTCTTCTTACCAAGCAGCAAGATGGAGCGGAATTTCAAGCACTGCCCTGGCAAGTACCCTTTGTAACAGTTGTAGGAGAGCAGGCACAAGAACAGAATAAAAAAGAAGAGGAAGAGGAACATCAACAGGAAATTATCATTTGACTTGAGGAACATTGTCTTTTCCGGGACCGCATCAGGAATGGAATTGAAGAGCTCTGTGTTGGAGGGTGCACTTGTTAGAACAGAGCCAAGTGGCTTTGTTACTATCCTTGCTGTTGTTACTGGTACCATATGAGTAGTCAAAGTGCGAGCGGTTGACCCCTCAGTTGATACAGCTGACACTTTCGGCACATCACTATTACCTTCTGTTGGTGCAGCTGCCGCGGTGGGGCCCACCGTGGTATGCTGGATCTTTTTCAGTTCCAAGACATGCTTAGCCAGCACTTGAGAAAATTTCTTATTCTTCACTTTTTCTTCTGACAAACACTGGTAAACACCGCTGTCTCCTTCTGATAAATTGAAGATGAGCAGTGCCTTTTCCAGCAGACGGTACTTGGGACTCTCCACTCTCAGCACATCATCTTTGAACTTCCAAACTACCTGTGCCAGATTGGACTTTTGAGAACACTTGAGCTCTGCTGTGCTCCCATGCTTGAATGTATGCTGTAGGGAATTCTCGCTTACTTTATCTGGAACATCAAAATAAATGTGCAGAGTATCAGCAATGATTCCCCTTTGTTCTAATCTGTGTAATTTCACAAGACTGTGCTATAGTCTTAACAGAAGTGTAAAGATTAAGGCATTCAGATTACCTCACAAGACCAAGATGACAGCATGCAAAGATGTTAGCAAAATACCAAGCTACAATTGCGTGCGAGACATTAAGACAGAGTAGGAGATAGGACACCTCAAACTCTAAGACAGCCTCCACTTCCAAATAAGGATGACATGTTGTTGATCCCAAATGAGTGTGCATCTGAGAGGAGTCATTGTTTGAGACAAGGTGCTGAATTTAGTATCACTTTATATGCAACTAGTGCACTTTAAGTACATCAGCAGCTACAAAATATTCAAGAAGGAATTGAACAAAGTGCTGTTACTCAACCTGAACTCTCTTCTAAAAAAAATACCAGCACTTATGGCACATCCACAGTGCAACACCATAAATTAATGAAAAACTAACAACCAAAACTCTGATGGTGGTCCATGCTTTGCTTGAATTAGAAATAAAAATAGAGTAAATCAAACTCCTCAGGTTTTTTTACTGCAGTAAAAATCTCCTGTAACACTGCTCTTAAGATCTCCTTCATCTGGTGGCAGCAGCACATATTACAAAGAAAGGACCTGTGGTTACTTTTATTAAATCACTACAAAGGGTACTTCAGCTGCTCTGTATCATGTTCTGAGTCACCCTTCCCTCTCACCAGAAAACCAGCTTTTTGGGGACCATTTACTCTTATCCAGACACAATAACCAAGCACTTATCAAGTCTCACAGTAGAATGTCAAATGCTGTATCACAGAGACAGGCCTCTGCACTAGAATTACTTATGGCAAATACTGCTTTCATTGACAAGTTGCTGTTCAGGTGCCCCCATTCATTTCATCGGTTTGTGCACTGCACACTGAAATGCAGACAAACACAGACATTTTAAGACAACATGCAGGCTGTACAGGTGCTCAAATATTAAAAAGTACCGTATCATACCTATTAAAATATTAATGAATGTTCCGATAATCACAAAAAAGCCAAACCAAACACAACTTTCACTACTTCACCTAGAGGCATGAAAGAGCTCTTCGAAGACCTACTCACCAGAACAAGATGATGCATCTCCACCTATGTTCTGAATCCAGCTCCTGTAAAAGGAAGTTCAAGTATTACAATTTCAAATCTTGTTTCCTATAGCCTGCCCACCCTGTTGTCCTAAGCAAGATTTATCTAAAACAGCACAAGCAGATGTAGACTGGTAAGAGAAAGTCTGTATCTGAAAACATTTGGCTTAAAAAATGGCACTAACAGTAATGGGTGAGGCTGATGCAATACTCATTGTAACAGTAAGGTAATAAAAGGCTACCATTACCTTTCAATTTCATTTTCTTTAAAAATATCAATGCAGGAAGCTTCATGGGGTTTCCAAGCACAGTAAGGATCCCTTGCTAAAACACAGTCAACACAAGTGGTGTACTTGTCACAGAATGCAACTGGAGACTGAACTACACCAGAATTAGAACCAGCATAGATGTATCTTCTGCCCTAAAAAAAAACAAAGCACAAAAAAAGAACACAGCCAGTCATTTCCTCAAAGCCAAACAAACCAATCCATGAAACAATTTAAGGAGTTGCATATATAACAGCCATACTTGTAAAAACTGGAACAGGAGCAGAACAAACATTTTGATTACTTTAGAAAGGAAGCTTAGGAAAATATCAGCTAGGCTGGAAGTGAAAACAGACAAAAGAACAAAAACCTGAAATAGATAGTTTATGAGAATGGAAAGTAACCACATCTAACCACGGCTTCATCACAGAGTTTTTCCACAAATACAAATGCACTGTCAATCCTCCTACGAGGTGAGGCAAGGCAAGTCTGTGCTGATGACAGGGGCTGAAGCAGGCACATGCAAGCCTGCACAGGCAAGGCCTGCTGTATGTAGGACCTGCTCCTGCTCCTGTTAACCAAAGCAGCACTGCTGCCCTCAGCTCTTCTGCCAGTTGAGTCTCTGCAGCTGCATCAGCAGCAGCCTTACAAGAGTCAGATTCAGCTGCCTATTTGGGGCTCATGGAGAAACACTGGACAGTATTCAAAGGAAATAGCACTGGAAAAGGTGGAAAAGAAAAAGGGGAATATAAACAGAACAGCTGTTTCACCCACTGCTGCTGGGGATCCCAAACAATTATTACCCCGAGCATGACATGAAAAGACCACTCTTATCCCAAACATCCTTCTTGTAAAAGGCAGGCAGCTTCCTTATTTCACTCATCTGTTCCAAAGCTCAGGGAAACCGACAGCAAAAGGTACACCGTGAATTTACATATTATTATACAAAGCCTTAAAAAAGGAGCCTCTGCTGCAACCCAAAACCACCAGTGACCAACCCTCTAGTCATTTTGAAAGGCTGTGAATACAAAGCTGAACAGCACACCCCACCTTGGCAGTGGGTTTTCTTCATCCTGAGCAGAATACCGAGTGGATTTATCAGCACCCTACCACAGTTGTCATGGCAAATGAGCCAGATCCAAGCACAGAGTAGCTTTTCCTGTACTGCAACCATACAGATCTCAGTATGTAGAAACGTACTCAGGGATTGTGTCTGCAGTGACTGTGGCAAGAGGAATATGGTCAGAAAGTGATGGACAGACGTCCAAGAGATTCCAGTAGAGAAACATTCTCTGAAAAACCTCATTTCATGGTGCAGACTTCTGGTTTTGATATAAGAAACAGCCTCAACTAACAGGGCATCTTAGGAATGAATTTAGGGTTTGGGGCTCACTGTCATTCTTTCATTAAGGATGTAAGGAGGTTTTGCCATGAGAATTCAGGACTGGTTAGTCTCTTTGATGCAATGGTCACGAGGAAGTGTTTTAAAATCAAGCTACCAAATGATGCATTCTGGCTAGCAGCATTCCTTAGAGTAAGTTACAAGACCAAGCACAAATCAGGTTGGATCCATCTCATATGAAGTGCGCAGACAGCTTTCAAGGAAACTCCTTGACGCTGCACAATGAAAGTCAAAACTGTATCAAAAAATAATCTGCTTACATTACCTGAAGATGGACTCTGACAATCAGCCTCAAGAGACATACGCTCAAATGCAGTCTTTCATTCTGAAATTTCATGGTTTAAAATCAAGACACATCTTTCAGTAAAGTAGGAGTTAGGAGGATCTACTGTAGGCTCACCTGACACTGCTCACTACTCTCCAAACAAGGCAGAGAATCATGGGAAGGGCCTGAAGACTACTGCAGTAGTGTGTTCAGAAAAGACTGACTCCAGAGAGGTCTAAGGTAGCAACTATTAACCTCCTGTGATTAATCCTTATTATGGCCCCTATGGCCACTATTGCATACTGCAATACCAGCTTGACAAATGACTTCAGTAGTAGCTGACTGTGATTGCTACTGTGATGTCCAGGGAGGTAGAAACTTGTGTTTTCATGCTGGGAAGCAGAAGTAATCCCTGCTTGGGTGGTACCACAACTATGCATCTTTCATGACTCACACTTGACCCAATCTCCACTCCTCATTGCTGAAATTATTTTATCATTACCTTCTATCATAAAGCAAATGCCGAAACTTCCTGTCAAAGTAAGGCAATTAAAGCTTTCTTTGCAGATAAAACAGAAGACATCAGCAAACATTTTATACGTATATATATGCACACATACTGTATATATACACGTAAGTTGCTCCTGTGATGCATCATTCATAAAAAATATGACTATCTTTACAAGATCTGCAAGCACTGAAATTTTTATTAAGTGTCACGCAAAAATAAAAGCTGTTTCTAAGATATCTTGGCAGTATTGCTAAATGCCTAGCTGCAGAGTTTTTACTGATCACCAGGCAGCTACTGAATACCAGCATTACTACAAGACATTTCAAGAGTTATTCTTTCCTTAAGATTAAGAAACCCCAAAATTTCACCAGTCTGAGGGGTGTGATACTATAAGCCACTGCTTTTAGGTGGTAATTCCATAGACGTTCACAGATCTGCTGGTCTAAGTACGGCCAGAAGTGTAACTCATGTAAAAAGTACACAGAGTGATTATCCTCCTACTCTCACAAACCCAGTATTAAACCAAGCAACTGATTAACAGGTAGGGTTTGGAGCCTGCAGCAAGGCTTATACCCCCAGGCTGGTGCTGCAGCTGGTGCCTGCCAGACAGACAGGACCTCACCAGAGGTCCTCATCCCCCACTGCACTAACGTGGCTGCACTAATGACACATCTAGCATGTAGGAGCCTGCAAGATTTGGGTTACACAGATATGAGTCTCTCTAATAAATGAGACTGTTCAATCATCTTAGGTCTATTTCGTCAGAAAGATATTCTACTCCTCTGCTAAGCCCCCCAAAGGATTTTTCCTCACAGATTTGCAGTGGCCACAAGGGGTCAGGATTTTTACAGAGGTCCTAACCTGAAAACTGGTACCTTAAAACACAACTTTCAGCTTCTGCACATGAAATCACAGTGAAGACCCCTACACCTGTACCCCACCCTCCACATACTTTTAGAAGATTGCACCTACACTGAAATGCAGCAGGCAATAGATAATATTGCTGCAGCACAAGGAGTTACAGATGCAGCCTCTGTCTCTGTGTGCAGTTCCAGCCTTTTTTTGTCACAAGATTATAAGGTGGTACTAAAAAGTTTTGAGGAAGAGCAAAATGAGAGGAATGATATGATGATTATAGCCCTTACTCTTTTGGATGAAAGTAAGAGAGTTTGGACTGGCTCAAATTTGGGGAAAAGTTGTGTTTCTTCAATAATATGCATTCCATTTTCATAGCTGATAGCTTTGTGCAGGGCTCCTCGATCTGAAATGACAAAGTAAAATATTTAAGATCCTTAAAATAAAAAGCCAGAGAAAAAATTGCACAACTGCTGTAAGTTGACTCAATCTGCTTGGTGTTCAGCTGAAGATTTCACACAATGTGTGCCAATGGCAGTCCTTAAATTTGTCACCGTAAGGACCTCTAAGCAAGAAATAACATTTTGGAACAAAGAATGACCACTTAGGGATTATCTTAAATGTATTTTTGCTGCACTCACTGCAGTTTTGCAGTCTTTTTCCTGCACTGCTTTCTCAAAGCATGCAAGATTCTCCACTCACCACTGCCCTTTAATGAAAGCACCAACTGCTGTAAAAGCATTGTAAATATGGACACTCAAAGAGTTTCCCTTGAACATACTTCAGCCTAATGAATCAGTACATCATTGAAAAAAAAGTGTTTTGCAGAACCCACCTGTACTGATGAACATAACATCATATATGGAGCCATTGAGTGCTCTGACTCTGTCTACTACAATCTGGGTGTACTTCACATCTCGTTTTACTAGTCGAGGTCTGTCTCCCACTGGAGTCACCGAGTCATCCATTAGGGGATGATCTTTAACAAACTGCAATGTTTTGTCTGGCAAATTCAGAGAACTCATGTAGTTTGATGCTCTGGCTTCATTGTTTATGCACTAGTGAGAGGAACAAACCAAAAAAGAGCAACCAAATTACACCATTAACTTGTACAAAAGGGAGACAATTAACAGCAGCCACGCACATTTTCTTTTCTGCATTATTCTGGCCAGTGAACACACATCTATATTATACTCATTCTACTGAGGAGGGTCCTCAGGTCTTGTAGCACTTTAGCTTCTGTGATGTACAAATCCCTGAGGTTTGGACTACATTTTTATTTGGGCCCAAAATACATTTTAGAATCTCCTGCTTCTTAACTACTTTAACTGTCACCTCATTCAATAGTAGCAACTGCAGGGAATGCAAGAAATTAAGAGAAATGTGAAAGAGACCCAGCACTATGAATATGTTGGTTTGCAGGCAATGCACTGTGTTGGATAAACTTGCTGAACCCACTGAGACAATACAGTGTTTGCTGTACTTCTGTTCAACTGACCTAAAAATACTTGATGTTGGCTAGTGTATAATGACATCTATTTTGCCACTAGAAAATTAGTAACAAAATCATGAAAATGCAAAACCAGAAAATAACCTTACTGTATAGTTAAAAACCCCACTTTTGATTTCCAGAAATAAAGTTCAGAATAAATCACTTGAGTGTTTTTTCTACAAAGCCTTTAAAACAAGAAGTATCCAGGCCAGCTACCTAATATTTACCAGTTTCCTTAGTCCTAAGCATTATAAAGAAAAGTCTCTTTTTAATTTTTTATCAGATTCAAAATCATATAAACTTACCGCACCAGGTCGAGGATGAGGAATTTCACCATTGTATCGTACCCACTTTGTATGAGACTGTTCTACTGTAGCACTCTGCATGTATTTTCCTTTCGAGAAAACCTCTTCTACAGTAGACAGATTGTATGCACACACTGCAGACAGCCCCACATTATTCCTAAAAGTTCAGAATGAAAGAAAGAAAACCAGAGGAATAATTATTACTTATGGTGGTAACCAACTGAGATTAAAAGTACTTATCCAGGAAAAGGCTGTACCACACTTACAGTTGTGGTGTGAAGACTCCATATATCACTGGTTCCTTCAAAGTTGTAGACTTGAGAATAAAAACATCATTGATAATATTGAAAACTAAATTCTTATCGGGGTTGGTACAAATCAATCTGGCCTTCAGAAAGGAAGTCCATTTTTTCTGCAGGGTCCTTAATCCTCCTTGGTCCCTCTTTTGACAATAAAAAAGAATAATAATAAAAAGGTGTTTGTGAGGAGACTTAGCATCATTTTTGCCTTTAAGAACCACTGCTCTATAGCATGAAATTCCCGAGCACTGTTACTTTCTAACATTTCACCATAGGCACATTAAAATAAAGAAGCCACAGGACAATTAGTCAACAAAAATATTGCAGAATGGTTTCTATCAGTGCACACAGGGAAGATGAGATATGAGACTTATAGAAGGAATCATACTTCAGCAGCACTTGAAAATTGAGTAAAAACCTGCTTATTAGAACAAGTAAAATAAGTATGGAAGTATTATACTGTCCCTCAAGACAAGTAAGAATCATTGCATTGTTCTGTGACATCTACACTGCGATTTTAAATTCTAATGTTATGATAAGCACTTGAACTTGCTTGATATTAATAATTCCCTTAGAAAAAACGCAGCAGTGACTTAATTCTGCAAATAGTTACCACCTTTATTAAGGATTTGCAGGACCCAGACTTAAAGTAGTAAAGATATATTGATTAGAAATGTTTAAAAATATATAGTACTCAAGCTGTAGCTCTGTTACTTTCTTCAAAAAGGAGGGCATATTTGAACATTACTAGTATTTCCCATATTCCCTAAAGAAAGTATTAGAGGAAACCTGCAAAATTTAAGTATAAATGCTTATAGATTTGCAACCTGCCATTGATTCCCATTTCAGACAAACAGCAGCAATAAAGCTCTCATATTCCACGATACTCCCCTTTTAAGGAGTGCATAAGCTGCCAGTGGGCAGAGGGCCACAATAATAGGCCTCATGTAAACCTGCCTCCAGCTGCTTGTTTAATGGAAATCTCAAGAGCACTAACTTGTTATTGATGTTTTGACTTCCATGTTTAAATATGAAACAGTAAGGTCTAAATAAAACATTTCAACCTCATCAAAATGAAATGGCTAGATAAATTTCCTGTTGGTGAAAAAAAAAATCCTGAGGAAATTAATACATTCCAGTGAAAAAGTTTTCGTTAAATCAACCTACTGAAAAATAACTTTTTTTCATCAAGATTTTTAACCAGTACTCCTAAGTACATACTTGAACGAGCCTAACACGCTGCAGTTTAAACACATCACATGTGACAGAACAGGCTGTGGTGACCATTTTCCTTGAGGTTCTGGCAGCTCCAACAGCTTCATGAAATTTTACCACTGTGCAAAATTAAATCAAGTATTTGCTCCCAAAGCAACAATAAGGCTTTCTCAGTTCTGAATAACTGACTGAAACTGCTGATTCACCAAGTTTGACCCCTTCCATTTAATTGGCAGTAAGTCCACAATAATAAATGCTATTTTTAACACACACAAAATTCTACTTGATTTAGTTAAAATAGAGACTGAACTATAGTTAAAATAGAGACTGAAATAGTTAAAGTAAACTGAACTACATCCCACCTTGCACACTCTAGCTATTCTTGGAATCATCAGTTTTCCAACAAATTCATACTCCACAGGCACCTCAGTGAAAAAGAAGTATATCTTGTCATCTTCTCCATCTGTGCTGTTCTGGTCTGCTCTTATGACATCAGCAAAAACAAAATTAGGCTCTACAAATACAAAGAGAAGAATTGTATATTATACATGAGACTACTAACTTGATTCCCTCAACAACCCTCTAGGAGTCCTCTTTCACCCAAACCTCACACTGCATATAGGCTCTCCAGTCACTGACTTGCCTACACAGTTCGCTGTTCATAATATGAATAGCATTTCTAAAGAAATAGAAATAGAGGGGGGAAAAAAAACAACCCATAAACCCACAACCCTACATGAAAGCACTAAGATACTTGAGAGACATCTATGGTCTGGTATCTCATTGCTTCCAATGTTTTTCAGCCTCAAGTGCAGTTTTCTAACAGGCCTGGAAAGGTATCATCGCTTGCATACCACTCCCTTATTTCAGCTATTAGTAGAAATACTAAAAATGACAGTATCATTACCACATGTATTACAGAACTCAGTATTTTGTACTTTTTGGACTTAATGCATCTCTTGGTTGCATGACTTTGTCCGTTTTTGGCAGAAAGCCACAAGCCTCTCAGCATTCACAAAACTTGGCGAATTCTCAATTTCAGGAACTGAAATCATCAGGAACCACATTCAACTCGATTTGAAAGCCTTCTACAGACCAAAACCATTCTCCTTCTTACTATATCATAACCAGCCGCATTACCTTAAGGATTAACAAGTACATACAAAATAAACTGTAGCACTTTAACATCAAGTTGAAGCCTGTGTAGCTTAAAACTGTTCTCATTGCCAATGCTATAAAAATCCTGATATTTCAAAATTATGTTCATTGAGGGCACACAAGGGCACACCCTTACACATCAGTGAATGCTGACAGTATCTTTGAGATATTAGACAACTGCCCTTTAACTGAGGTAAGCTACTTAGACTCTGTGTGACACTGAAGAATGAAAAACAATTTGATTCAAACAGTTCTCATGCCCACTTACCATTAAGCCAAGGTATCGCATACTCTGTTCTGAGAGGGCTTTGATGAGAATGCCGTGAAATGATAGGTTCACTTCCCAAAAAATTGTAGGAAGTCCCAGAATAAAGCTCCTCATCTTTAATACAAGAACAAATATTTCAGACTTTCTTATGTATTAGAAATCAAAAAGGGTATATACATATTTCAGGAGACAATGTAAGCTTAAACTTCCCACAAGAAAAGATAAACAATGATTTCCTGTAAATTGCCCCAGACATGTCTCCAATGTTTACAATTCTCCTTACCATTCTCAAGGCTGAGACTTCCACACTTGGGATTATTATTGCTCTAACACTGGCAACTGGCAAAAGTCAGTATCGTTTCTGTGGTACTTCAACACTTAACATATAAACCTATGGCTTATGTACCAGTATGTAAATTTTCTTCAAAAATGACACAGAAATTTTGCAACTATTTTACTCCCTCCGTGCCAACATTATTCAAAATCAACTTTTAAGAATCTAGGCAACAACAGGGGGAGTGTGCTCTTCCTTCCTTATTCCCCATTTTGTGTTACTTCGGTTTCTTTTCTATGGTCTTGTGACACTAGGGTACACCCAAGAACTCTGATTTCACTAAATCAAGATTGAGTGTATCTAACCATACAGAAATACACTCAGAATGTATTACTCACTTCCCCATTCTGTCTCATGGATATGTCTTCAGGACAGCAAAAAAATTCTACTTATTACATTTACTGGAATGACAGTATTTGATACTACAAAGGCAGTGAAAGTACACTGAGACAACCTCAACTTAATATATTAAACACCTGAAAATATAGTTTAAAAATTAGTTTTTTAAAGAGTTGCTTATAAAATAACAGAGTTTTAAATTCTCCTTTTAAGAAACATGCTAAGTTTGACTACGTAAGCATTTTAGCGTCTACCTGAATACACAGTAAAGATGTAAAAACACGGAAACAATCTATGATTTCTATATTGGGAGCCTGGAGAATGACAGTAGAAAATATCACTTTTATACATAATAATGAGGCATTGAAGTCTGAACTTACCAACCATAACAGATGTGTAGCTTTGAGCAGGATCAAACGGACATCTGCCCTTACCATCTTCATTTTTACCTCCAAGTTCAAATGAAATTAAATTCTGCAAAAAATTAAGTTGAAAACCACAGAACAACTGTTAGCACTTTTATCTTTCAGCTACTTCACTCTCAAAGGTAACTGAAAGATTTAACACTAAATAATGGACCACATCATCAACTTCCAGCATCAAAGGCATTTTTTGGTAGCATTATAAAAGGCAAATAAGCATTTTCAGAAAATCTGATTGAGTCCAGCAGATAGAGAGGAAATGTGATCCTATATTTTGTGGGTGGAAGCAGAAAAGCACAGAAGATGAAAAGTTAAATCCAGACAGACCTCAAGAGAGGGCACCAAAAAAAGCCAGACAGCAGGAAAGGCAGAAGTTAACTGGTATATGGAGAGAGCTGGCAATTACTGAATTACCCTGCACAAAAATTGAGAGGTTTAGAAATTGGAGCAGCTTTCTGAAGTAGACTCAGCCATTTTGAAGATGGGTCACAACCTAACTAAATTTCAGAAAGCAACAGAGTACTTCGGCTGCTACTTTATAAATCCCTAAAAAAACAGGGAATGAGGATCAGGAAGATGACTGTAGCCTCAGTACTGGGAAAGTGATCAGTTACACTGTGTAATGAAGATATTGAAGGCTAAGGGCAATGACTTCTGGCAATGTTCCAGAGGTGATGGCAGGCCAACTTGCAGGCAGGGGAGCCAGAAAAGAACAAACAATTACAAGATTTCTCAATTTCAGAATTAAGAGCCACAGTAAGGCTAATGATACAAGAGTCAGCAGCAAGAAAAGGGAGTTGATTTTGTGCCAAGACTTCACTGAAGCATTCAGCACTATGAAGCTGTGGCATAGCCAGGAGCAGAGACGAGACAAGTAGAGACAGGAATCTGAGAAATTTCAGGGACATTCAGTAACGGATGGAAGTCACGAAGAATGTAATTTCAATTTTAGAAACTGTTTTTATGCTAATGCACAATATGCAAAGAATTATGAAAGCTAAGAAGTAAATCCACAGTTAAACAAGGTGAATCAATAATTCGGTAAGTGCTTTGAAAAGGGAACAATACAATTTATTTCCATCCTCTATCATTACTGTGGAACAGTGTAATAAATGCTCCAAACATTACAACCAGCACTGAAGTTGCAACAGTCTTTAGGAATGGAGATTAACTCATTGTTTAAATGAGCTGCTTGTAAACGACAGTTGTTACTGCGTCAAAACTGTATGAACATTCTTACCAGGTAATCACATGTTGGCTGAAATGCGTTAGTTCCACACACATAGAGAAAAGTATCGTTCAGCTGTTGCAACACACGCACATAATTACGACACTCTGTCTGTAATAAGGAATGAGAAAAGGCTGATAAACCACAGCTTCCAACATAAATATACAAAAGTTGTGCTGTCAGCTCATCTGTTGCCACTACTTATGCCACGCCAGTAAAGCTGGGACACCCTTCTCCCTGCAATCTCCAGGAGTTGTATATCTATCAGTGTAGCATGACCAAGTAACATATACTCAGCAAGGTGCATCTCAAGCTGTTCCATGAAAACACAAGCTCCAAAGACACCTCCAATCCATGGGAATGTCTAGTTAAGCATGGAGTAAGTTTTAGACTTTGCAATCCCTTGCAAGCCTAGATGAAACAGTCATACTATAGGCTGCTTCTTAAGAGAAACCTCTAAGACCATTCAATTAGCTACAAAGCTTTGTCACTTGTACCCATTTTGTTGGTTTGGGGTTACCCCACCATCACCACCACCACCACCACCCCAGTCCCTACTATCAATTGCTCATCCAAGGAAGCTTCTTCATTCTTTTGGCTCAGAAACAGAACAAAGAGTTTGAGCCAAAGCCTTGACTAAAGGATACCATAAAGTTTCAGAATACACACCAAGAAAAAGAACTCCTAAACTCCCACTGAGAGAAAAGAAACCCAGTAGCAACAACACCCCTTAATCCTTGGTGGCAACACAGCCAGATACCACCACTGTACTATAGTTTCATAAACTATTTAAGCAAGAATAAGCACTGTAGTTACTCTTCCTTCTTATGAGCCAAACAAGGTATTTCTGTGACTGTATGGTGGGTTTGATGTGGCAGAAAACTAGGGGTTAGGTGAGGAAGCTAAACTTTTTTCTGCCAGATGAGGTCCTTCCACAGCTGCATAAATGCCTTTTGCTGGCACTAAGCAGCACAGGGGTGATGCCTGGGGGAAAAGACTGCCCATTTTAGTGTAAGGAAGAGCAGTAGTGGCTTAATACCTTGACGCTTTTGAAACTACTGTACTGTGTAAAACATCAGAGCTACTATAAATGTGACTCATAAAGGTTATGAGTACAGTGAAGGAAAAGTACAGATGGCAATAAACGTGACTTGCTAAACTGCAGGCATGAAAAAAAAGGAAGTTTGGACTGCTGGCAAAGTACCTGTTTTGGGGGTCTAACACCCTGTCTACCTAACACTAATAATCTCTGCAGAGGAGTGGTAGTGATGCATGCACCACCTACTAAACTATATGCATGTGAGAGAAATTCACATTTCCCATATTCGGTTGTGGATGTCTGAATTTTATTACTAGTAAGCCCATCTGAGCCTGGAGAACAGAAATGACACTCCACTGCCTCCTGAAGAGGCAGACAAGGACAAAATGGCCCTCAAATACCTGCTACACCTCATGTCAGGATAATCTATTGATGGTTGTCAGTTGAAGAAAGGCAGTAAGATGAGCCAAGGGAAAGAGAGCCCACTCCCATTTGCAGGAGCCCCACGAATGCAAGAGATGTACCAGCTCTGGATACAGCACCTGGGATTTTATAAGTGTGAACCAAAGAAGCTGTCATGTGCCGATGTCAAATCCTTGCAAGTGTAGGGCAGGACTGCTTTCTGTATTTGCAGGGCTTGCAGACTTCCACTTTTTAACCTGTGCTTAAAAGCCTGACCATCAGTCTTGCACAGCAAACCCTCACTTTCCTGTATCACTAAATGAAGTGGTGCTACACATACAGCCAACTGCCAAAAGCAAACCATTTCCACAGAAAGGCACAATGAGCAAGCCAGCCTGGTCACTGGCAGCGGCGAGGAGTCTGTGGGATCCCAGGGGCTGAGATGCCTGCACTGCCGATCTGGCAGGAGACCAGGCTGCTCAGGTGCTGGGATGCTGCCTGAGCAGTCACACCAGTGAGGAGCTGCTGCCACAAGGGGCACACCCGCTGAGCACTACAATAAGGATATATGTTGTTAGTGAATAATATGCTGGTGGAGCAGCACTGGCCTAATAAAAAAAGCTCTGCCCTAAAGCAGAGCAAACAAAATTATCAGCCATTTTCTGAAATCAAATGCTGGGGAAGAATTACTGCAACAACAAAACACAACAGTTGCTATCAACTACCTCAGTGAAAGTACTGCTGGTTTATCTTTTCAACAGAAAAACTTGTAGTATTAAGCACACATTAGGGTGGTGTTCGGATTTTCAAACATTTAAATAATATTCACCAGCAAAAAATGAGCTAAGAATGGGGAGGGGAGAGGAGGGAGAGAGGGAAGACTAGGGAACACTGCCGTTTCTAAAGCTCAAGTTAATTAAAAAAATTAGGTGATCATTTGAAAATTTTAATTTCAAACAGCTGAAGCCTTTTTTCTTTAAACATCACTCCTCTTGAAGTGTAACATACAACATTTTTTCCCAAAGTTCAATAAAAATACGTACCTGTTCTGATTTGCCCTTGACTGCACATTTAGTCCTTTTATCCTCTGTGACCTTCCAGTGTAACTACATAAAAAAAAACAAGCAACAAAAAGGCACATCCAAAGCACTTTAATTCAACACAAGGTCTGAAGATCTTGCAGTAACACACAAAAAAGGCAATCCTAAGACTATCTACAGCAAATGCAAGCCATTTTGCAAGTAGCTTTCAAAGGTTCAAAGCCATTCTTTCCTGAAAAGGTGACACTTCCAAATGCATGTGATTTAACTGGGGTTAAACTACTGCCATTATCTTTCGGTTCATCATGATGTTTCCCCTCAAATTGCTAACACAGTTGCCATTACCACAGCCATTAGGGAAATGCAACTGTAACTGTTTCAACTACTTCTCCATTTTAACTACATCTCCATTTCATTCACATCTGAATGAAAGACACTTGAGGGGGGAGGTCAAAGAAAATTTTTTTGACCGATTTACACTATGTGGAGAAGTACAACTTTGACAGCTACATTCACTCGTAAAACAAATTTTATACACCGGTGAAGACTGCCCACCACCTGTGAACATGATTCCGCGCCTCTAAGCATCAGCCTGTGCTGCTGATGGGATCAGAAGCAGCAGCCTGGGAAGGACTGGAAACAATACAATGTTAGCAGACTTCTGCATGGGCTCATCTACTCTGAGAAGGCAGTGTCAGCACATCCAAAGTACTTCTCTGAACAAGCTGGATCAGACCTGTCCGCATCACCACTTGTGGTGCAGACACACCTAGAGACACAAAATAGAAGCTGAAACTGCAAGGACAGGCCTTCATTTCATGTGAAACACATCTGAAGCCTGCTACTCCTGAGCAAACAAACTTTGCTTCTGTTTGGATTAGATTACCTTCTGATTCAGATTAACAGAAGATGGCCCATTCCTGCTAATAAAAATATACATTAAAACCACCATGACAGTTGGTATCAAAGTCCCTCCAGTTCAACATTCTGTCCCCAGGAAGAAAACACCTAAGGAAACCTCTAATTCCATGCTTACATCCAACTTCTTTCTTCCTCTCATCTGATGGGAATGTTATTCTATAGTCTCTTCCAGTAAGTATCCCACACACAGTATTTTCCCTTTTAGGTACACTAAGCCAAACCTGAAGTGCAGTGCTACTGATACCAGGAAATGAAGCCAAACATGAAGTTTTGTTGTTTGTTTTTTTTTGCATGGATGATCATGTATTAAAACCATACCTCATGCTGCTTTTCAGCAATATTCACTGTGTTTAATGCAAAGATCACTTCTCTGGCTCCTACATATAGAACGTCTTTGTCTTCATTTAACAGCAAGGTTGAATAGTTTGACACTTCCGATTCATGAAAATGTATGAGCTGGACCTCTGTTGGAATGGAAAAATAACACCACATGAAGAAACAGGATCACTTAGGGTCAAGTTTACGTGTCATTTTTCTAAGTTGTCTAATAGCTGTCTGATATCTTGGAAACAAAGGTTAGTTTGGACAACCCATGTAACAGACAAGAAAGCTATCAGAAGCTTTGTTCAGCATAAACAGGAGGCCCCATCATCGACATCAAAATCACTGGTCCTCACTTCTCATTCAATTTCAAATGCCTAAATATTTCCTCTCATATTGATTCCTGTAACTCACATCTTCGTATTTTTCCACCTGTTAATTCCCTTTTGCCTGATCTTCCATCTTACCTCCACTGTCAGGTCCTTCCTCACCTTTTCCCTTCCATACACCCACCTCCCATGGAAAATAAGCTCAGTCACCACATCCCTTGCAAGTGCCCCAAAAAATTCTCATAGAAAATTGTGCGCCTTAAGAGATGACACTTCAGCACAGCAGAAAGAAGACACAGAAGCTAAAATGGAACAATTTACAGGGGATCAGGAAGTTGATGTTGGAGACCAAAGGTGAAGCGCACACAATAAAGAAGTAACACTAGGGAAAATCAAGATGAAATGGAGTAAGACGAGAGAGAGACATTGGGGAAAAGGCAGTAGAATGAGAAATTATGAAGACCGTAACAGAATGGCTGGGAGAAAGATGACACAAAATGACTAATATACAAGAATACTTTTTCTGCATGTACAGCCATAGCGGAAATATGGCTGAAAGCTTGGGAGACTGCATTTTGTGCAGGAGACTACCACAAGATTAATTAAACATGGCTTTTTAACAAATAGGCAGAAAACAATGTATTATGGCTCCCAATTCTAACATCAGAAATTGCATTTTCAAAGGTAATACTGGAGAAACATTCTTTTTAAACTAGATTCTGAGGCATGTAATTTTAAAATCTTTTACTTGCTAGGAAAGTTTTCCCTAAATGGATGAACTGGTTCATACCACTCCACATGTTCATTCCTACATTGAACTAAGTTCCCCTTCCCTTTCAAAGCAGGCTTCTCAACAATCTTTAGCAGACAGAGACAGGGAAAAATAGCAGGAATGAAAATAAATTCCGTTTTTTTTTGAGCAATTTGGGTATGGGTCTACAGTGCATTACCATAATACCATTAAACGGAACCTTGCCAAATTTTAACTATTATACAAGACAGGAGCATCAAGGAGTGTAAGCAAGAACCACAGAACTCATCTAGACCATTCTTTCTCAAAAGCTACACCAGCAATTCGCTAATTGCTATATCAATAAACAGGGAAAACACTTTCTACAGTCATCTCAAATAAGCTTACTACATTCTCTATCTCCATCTGTTTCTTCCTACACGGCAACTGCTCAGTATTTAAAATCCTTATTTAGAGCTGTTTCTTCACACTACCCACATGCTTGGTTTTGTTCAGTTACAGCACACTTGAGTAAGTAATTGTTGCTAACTAACTAGTAGTAAAGGAGGACCCAAACACAAAACCTTGTAAAATGTAAAGTATTCATGCTACATGCGGGGTGTGTGGGGTGTGAAGTAATTCACAAACAGCAGCAAATAACTACTTTTTAGTCCTTGCTCTAGAGGTCTCTTCAAATACAGGCTAAACTATTAAACCAAAAGCTAAAGGATTTTCTGATCCCTATTACTTCCCTTTGCACAGAGAAGAGAGAAGCCTTTAGCTTGTTCTCTTGAAGCAAGCTTCAGCAACAGGATCCTTCAGCTGAGAAAGCCAAAAATCAAAATTTCTCCTTTAAAAAGCTATGTTTTCATATCTGCTTGAAGGACCTGAAAGAACCTCAGTTAACCCAGTGCCTGAATCACTTTCAAATATTCTTGTCCTAAGCACTTCATAAGATAACCAAAGCAACCAACACCCGACCAAACGCACAGCAAGCAGCCTGAAGAGCATCCAGCCTCAACAAGTTCCAGATCCCACAAAACCCCTGAGGTTGTGACAATGTCCCATATCACAATATTACAGTTTCACTTCTTACCTTTGTGTTCCCAAGTGATCCTCGGTACTGGGCCAAATGCTATTGCTGCTTCCAGTAAAAAAACCCAAACTTCATAAAAAGCACATACAGCCATCTTCAGTGTTCCTGTTCTTTGGGGCTCCTTGGGTAACTGCAGCAGGTAGCGTTTCGTTGGCACAAGAAATGTATATTCAGGGACTACTAGAAATCAAGCATTTCAGAGCTTGAAATCAGTGCAACAAGGCAGGCTGGAGCAACTGTACTTGTACGTGCTCTTCAGCAGATCACTTCAAGGGAACGCACATTTTCCAGGATGCTGCATACAGAGACTGCCCACTCTCTCCACAGGCTGTGTAGCTGCTGAAAAGGGCAACTGAGCGCATTCTTCTGTTTCGTTACAGAATAAATGATGCTGTGGGGAGAGGAGTAAAGCGAGAAGTAGAAGAGAAAGAAAACTGAGTATTGCCAAAAAAAGCACATTGTATGCACTGATCTTACAATACTTCTGCAGCTGTCTGCATAGTTTAAAGAATACATTAACTGGTGAAAATACAATTCTTGAAAACAAGCCATACATTTACACAGCAAATCGGCAATAGTTTATAGCAATCACTTCAATCTAGAGTGCCAGGTATCAATATTTTGAACTGCCACTTATGTTTAATACATCAAATTTGACTCTACATATTTTCTTATTTTAAACAGCGAGTTGAAGAAAATCCCACTTCTCTGATATGATACAGATAAAAATCAACATGACTAAGTTCAGACAGTAAAGAAGATGAGAAGTGCAGCATTCACCTTAAGCATCACTTACACAAACCTGCCTCACCTCTTCACCTCCCATCCTTGGGATCCTTAGGAATTTTTAGCAATTTCTTTTCATGTTATTAATGTACTCAAGGTGTGTGGGGGCAGAAAGTAAGACTGCTGTAGAAACAAAGAGCTAATGCACTGCCTACAAAAATAAAGGGAGAAAATGCTTAAATACTAAATCTGTTAGTATAGTATGAACGTCATTCTGTCTCCAAGCCACCCATTACTCAGGTTCCTCAGCAATCCATAAAGCCATTCACTGCTTTAGAACTGTGATATGCAGAGGTTATCCAGCATGAGGGAAAAGGAGAGTTAGTAGTGTTCAAGAGGACTGGTGCAGCACTTGAGCAGGACAGAAGTTAAAACTAACATGAGCTGCAGCAAGAATGTCTCCAAGGACAAGCATGATGCTCACAGCCTCTCTGGGAGGGACAGGCCCCATGCTTGAGCAGGCAAAGGCAAGGAACCTCTTCAAAATGCAGCCAGCAGATCCACTACAAACACAGAACTCATGTGGCTGAGTAAAGGATGAACAAATACAGTAGAGCTTTTACACCTGGTTTACCAAATGATAACATGGAAGGTTCAGAAAAGAAAACAAGGGAAAAAAAAAAAAAAAAGTCTTATTCCTACCCATCTTCTGTCTGCTAAGAAACTCCACACACACACAATCACAACTCGCTCAACCTAAACCTGTGACTTAATTTTCTTTCTTTTTTTTAACTTTTCGTAAACACTTTGGATCAGATCCAACTGTTTATAATGGATCATACAGATTAATTTTGGGGTTTAAGGTGGAGTATTTTCAGTTAAGCTTACTAGGCTTGTTTGTCTATGTTGCACCCTTCTTGTTTATCATCATACATAAGCAATTCCATGATTTGCTCTTCAACATGTTAAAAAGTACCCACTCCTCAGGGTTGCAAGGTATCACGCAGGTTATTCTGAGGCAAACAGCTTTAAAAGCAAGTATTTACAGAGTGAAGAGTAGCTCAGTGATTAAGTTCAAGGCAGTTTAGCAGTTTTATTTTAATGGAAATTTAAGGTGAAAACCAGCAGTTTGAAGAAAGATCTTTGAGCCCCTATTTCTACACAGTCCTAATTCTTTTTCTGATGCCACTGTTTGTTACTGAAAACACTCCATGAAATAATTTATTCCCAGTTAACTCCCTATTTCTCTTTTTTTAAAAAGACAGCCAGAATACCATTATTCAGCATCAGTCCCAGTGATAAGCAAACATTTATGTACAGAACGATATGGTAGGGAGGTCTCCAGAGAAGGTTTCTCAAATCCTGTAAGTTTTATGTACTTCAAAATAGCATTGGCAAATCTATGCCCTTGTAAAGGAAAACCCTGAGTCTCCCCTACAGGCACAGTTACTCTCCTAACGTAGCTCACCTACCTTAGAAAATGCAGAACTACAACAAAATCTGAAGCCTACTACGTTACTTTTGGAAGATGACAGAAGGCCTGGTTGGATAGTTAGTGCCTACTTTGCTGAAGCAGAAATTTGTTATTTCATTCCCAATGTACACATTTGCAAGGCACGCTCTTTTTCACATTAGTAAGATTGATTTGTGGGACATTATTTGTCAATCTAGGGTAAAATTCTGCATGTTAAAAAAAAAAAAAGAGTGAGCCAAACTACAATGAATGTTACATGCCCAATTGTGCAAGATCCACTCTGTTCTCATTCCTGTTACTTTAAATAGAGATGGAAATGCACTCAGGACTTTGTCCTTGAATTTAGCCTTCAATCTAATTACTCTCCCTCACCCCCCCCCTCCTCTTTCTCTGTGCTGAAAATTATCTGGAATAACTCCTTCACTGACATGCACTGGGAAGTCATCCATAATCTAATATGAATCTTTTTTTTTATATAACACAAGGGGTAGAAGGATTGGAGGGAGAAGGCCCAGACAATGTCCTAATTTCCAGGTTAGCTCAGTTCCATCAGTTTTCACTGGATTTGATAAGATTTGAGGGCTTTGAATTTCTGCAAAGTTAGGTCTCCTAACGCTTTTGGTTCTACCCATGAAAACGAGCCACGCTTTGCTTGAAAACAAGAACATTTAAGTAGTAAAGCAGAAAAACCTGAAACAGTTACATACTTAAACTCTTATTAAAGTGACAAGTCTACTTTTCTGTTTTCTGCAAAATTGCTGAAAATTTTCTGAAGTACATTTAAGCCAGCAATTTTAATTCAGGCACTCTGCTGAGGATGATTTTAAGTAAGTGTAAAATGACAAACTGGAGCAAAATAATATGCAAGCTACTCGCAAGAGTTCTCCATAATGCTTGTATTTGTGGTAACTGAAAACAGGGCAGCCACAGAAAAATTAAACAATCAACAGAGCTTCTGTCAGTTTGGCAGAGCACAGCTGGAAGTTCAGAGCTGTGAACATTCCCACTGACATGAATAATTTGAATGTACAGCCACAGAAACAGGAAGAGACATATTTCTCAAAAGAGAAAACTCAAAACTATTACAAAGAAAATTTCAGTCTGCCTAAGTGCTAATACAGAATACTACCACAAATTCTGAAAGCAGAGAGCTGTGATAGAGTATCTTGACTGTTACCACCATCAACAACCATCTGGCTCTCACATTGCCTGTGTCAGTGGGCATCAAAGAAACAGTGCTCTGGTCCACCTTCTAGAAGAATGCAAAATGCTAGCTTCACAATGAGAGAAGCTGGAAAACCTACAACAGGGAGAGACGACTGCCATCTTTCTGATCCTCCAGGGCACAGAGGCAAAGTAAGCACAAAGAGGTATTTGTGAACAAAAGATTTAATCTTTCACAGATGTCAATTTAGAAACCTTTATTAGGAGTAAATTAGTTTTTTTTATAAGTAATAAAATGCAACTGCAAAACACCAGAGTTATAAGTTTTCTTCCCCAGTCAGCATGGGTAAAGCTGCATTCACGTGTCCATCTCATACACGATACTTGCAAAAGCTATCTACATTCTGGAATTTCAAAGATTGGAAATGCCCAGTTTTGCAACCTGGTTTTGAAACTGTTTATTCTTCTAATAAATACTTAACTGCATTGTGCAACCTCTGAATTCTGCTCAGTGTTACACAAAATGCTAAATGGATCTATCTTTATCTTCTCTATGAAGGTAAAACTGAATGAAAATTTACTGACACAGCTGCAGCAGTTAGCACTATAGCTGGGATCCTTTCAATTCCCAAGAAAAGATCATTAGCATTATATGGAGCATGCAGCCTCTCCCTGCAGAAAGCCAAATGGGTACTGGCCCTCCTGACCTAATCCCATTACTCTTTCCATGATTCCTGAGGCACATCAAGCACCCACATAACTTCATTTTCCTCCCATTTTGTACTGCACTTTATTTTCCTCACCGGGGTTATCTTTTCTTGCAATCCCCCACTTATTCTGTGGCTACACTCCCACCATGCTGCCGCCACCACCTCCTCCCCAGCAGACAGCCCACAACTGTATGACCCACAAGAACTGGTGAGGCTGCCAGACAAAAGACCACCTTCTTCTGGGCTGGAAAGAAGACCTTCTAACATACACACTTCCCTAGCTTTCCATGAAATCACCTTCACACCCCATGTTATCCTAGCACAGCAAGCAAGAGCCTCACAGTAAGCAACAACTGACTGCAAGGCATCTCCCTTTTCATCACCAGGAGCAAAAAACCAAGGCAGCGTTTTCCAGGCAGCCTACCCTGGAATAATAAAATGCATATATATATAAATAAATAAAATACATATATATATATTCATTTGCAAAGCTCATAAATAACTATGGTGAGAGATATGAAGTTCAATCTGTGGAGACAGGCAAATTCATGAGCAAATTTTTTCTTCCAGCAGGAAAAGGGGGGAGTTAACGGACTTATGCCCTCCATCAGAGGGCATAAATTGTAAGCTGTCCCAAAATAACTTCCTTTAAAGGCTCTTGAAAGCTTTAACAGAATACAGACCTGCTTCAGTGATGCCTATTTGGTAAAAAAAAATATATATATTTTAAGGCTTCACAAATGGGAAAAACAAACCATCGAACTCCCAGTGTGATGTTCTGCTTAAACCCTATTTTTTCCAATTTGCCCCAAGTTTTTTTTCCAAAAATAGAAGAAAGTTTGCAGTGCTTGTATTTTAAGTAATCAAAATTACTATGCAACTTACCTTTGACAGCTGAGCTTTATTTATACAGTTAGTTTATTTCAGACCAGTAAGGACAAACTAGCTATAGCCTTTGCTTTAGTTTTCACCCTTTCAAAGCCTCAAACACAGCGCCGTGTTTAGAGTACTTCATGAAAAACAATCTTTTTTGTATGACACAATATGCATGGACTTATTTTCTGCTGAGTTACTTTAAAACCTAAAACTAGCAGACCAGCAGCCCTTTATGACTAACATACATGTAAAGCATGGAATTATTTACATTTCAAACTGTAACCAGTAATACTTTGCAGTTGCCAGGTGCTTACAAATTAGATGAAGCTTTTTAAGATAATTTGATGTGGACTTTACCTCCACCACAAAGCTTCCTGGAGGAAGTGCTCTAGTGCTAAAAGAGGATAAGAATTCTGAGGAAACCAAAATTCCCAGTTTTAGGCTGAAACCTTCCGCAGAGACAATATTTTCCTGATTCTGCACAATATATGCGTCATTAAGTAGTACTCAGAAAACAAATACTTGAGTTTAAAGCAGAGAATATTTATAATCTAGGACTAAGTCAAAGTGATTTGAAGAAGCCTACTGGTTTCACAATGGTGAAAACACCTGTGCGTCTAAATTAACAGGCATGCAAGCTTTTAAATAAACTATTCTAGGTGTTATGCAATACTTTCAAGATTCAAAATTCCCTGAAAGCAAGCCCTGTACCTCCTGACACACATAAACTATGTAACACAGGAAAGCTGCAATCCTGAACTGGGACTTTTCAGTGGTAACTAAAGCACAGGTAAACATCAGGACAAAGAAGACAGTGTCCCCTTTTTACAGTCAGTCACATGGAAAAGCTGAGGGGTCATGTATGCAAGTTACTGCTAGGGAGATTCTGACTGGTCACAAGAGAAAAACTTTTCACAGTGAGAACTATCAGCCATTGGAGTGTCCTCCCCAGGGAAGTGGTGAATTTCCCAGCACTGGGCACTTGTAAGGTTCAGCTGCACAGGGTGCTGGGACACCCAGCCTAGAGAGGTGGTACCAGGTGATTGCTGAAGCCCCTTCCAACCTGGTATTCTACAATACAGTACATTCTCAAGTAAAAAAAGTCCCTTTTCTAAGTATTCTGGCCTTGAAGCAATACAAAATAATGTATCAAGGTTATCATTAAATCCTTATTTATGTTTTTTTCCATATAAATTAAGTCCCTAGTGTTCTTGCAGTGTATTTATTTGTTTCACTAACAAAGACACCTGTAATACTGCTACCACAAATTCACCACAGACCCCTTGCTGGGGAGGGAAGTGGGGAGATACCCCTTGTTTCACTGTATGTACTTGCTGCCCATTGGAGCCTTCCACACACCCCTGGAGTTGGAAAGCACTCAGAAACACAGCCTTTCTGCAGAAAGATGAGAAGCAGGGTTTGACATCATTACCACATAAACCCAAAGGGCAAGTTCTGATATGGGAATTACAATAAATCCTCCCCCAAAAGTTTGGCTTTTAGTTCCCAGATTACCAAGGCAGACAGTTTCTGACAAAAACCAGAATTGACACAGTTGCATCCAACAAGCCATGATCCTGATAATGTACTTAAAACAAAAATCTATTAAGCAGTCCTGACAAAAAACACACACACCAGCCCTTTTCAAACTCAATTTGTTTCCTTTAACCTAAGCTGACACCCAGTATAAAATTACTCAGCATTTGCCTTGCAGTAGCAATTACTGATCCTGGCAAGAGGCTGGGACCCATCTTACACTGGTATGGGACATACAAAGAAAGCTCAGAAAGGTTAGACACCAGCCAGGCCCACAAACAATTACCTTTACTAAATCCATATAAGGCAGCTCAAACACTCCTGCGTTACGGAACAACCTCATTATGCACAATCTTAGAAACAGAATATCTGGATATTTATGATGAAGCCTCGTGTGTTCATATTTAAGTTGGTGTAATCAAACAAAAACAGTGGCCCACCCTGAAGCAGTCTCAACAGGGTGCACTACATATTTACCCCAACACTGTTCTAGGTAACATTCTTACAAATATACAGACTTGTAACACTGCTACATCAGCTTTTTCTTAGCATATATACTACCTACTGATAACCCAACTGCTTTTAGAAGGGCATAAGCTACCTGAAGGGACAGTGTTTTTTTAAATAAAAGTCACCATAGGTCTGATCTGGATTTCACTGAAGTCAGCAGTAGAGGGTTCCCACAGATCCAAATGGGAGGAGGGTGCCCTTGAAATAAGTTTCCACTGAGCATCTGAAGACTTGATTCTTGATCCACAAGACTGTAAAGAAAGGCCCACAAGACAGAAAGGCCCAAAAGAAACAGGCCAAAGTTACACAAACAGCTCAATTTTGCAGGTCTCTAAGAAAAGAGAGAGTCTACACAGAGTCTTTTTAATGGTGTAGTATCTGCCCTTCAGCTGTCTTCACTGTCTCCAGCAGTGCACATTTTGTGCCTGCCAGTACAGCAGCAGGTATCAAAACCCACTCTTACAAAAAATCTTCTTAAAATCTTTTGTATCTTTTGTATTACAGAGAGCAGAATCTCATCTGACTCTCCTTACAATGTTTTTTCAATAAGATACACCACAAAAATCCATGGGCCATCTATGCTATTACCTGATGGATATATTTCACATACTAGCAGGATACAACTGGCTTATTTTTGCTGTAAAAGCAACCATCTACCTTTCATTCTGCAGAGAAAAGCAGAGCAGGCAAACTGTGAATCATGCAACCAGCTATGAAGCTTTACATGAGCCAGCTTACACCAGATCATCTCTACAGCTGTAGCTACTCAAAGTTAAGTGGAGAGTTAAAATCCACAAAAATTGCTGCTTGCCACAGGAGGCCAACAGCTACCAGAGTCGCTATTGCTAAACAGAGTTTTTAGATCCTAGTGTGCTTCCTTATGGCTTTCTGCTTGCAGAGCAAAGATATAATCATCCACTTTAGCTGTAGGTACCTTAAGGGGAAAATAAAAATTCTCTTACCACTGCTGAGAAAGGACTTCTAGCAGCCTGTGGCTTGTATAAGCACTTTCATTTTAACAAAGCACGTCTAAATAAATAGCTAAAGTAGGTGTCAAACTGCTCATAAAACCCTTGCAACAAATTAGCTGACCTGCAAACTTCACTGGCTCTCAAAACAGCCTACTGTGGACATTTCTATGTCTCCACAAGAGGCACCTGACCTAGGGCTTGAGGCCACTGAGAACCTGAAAGCCAGATGGGCACATGGCTGGTGCCCAGGCTAGTTCTTGGCCAGTCCTTGGATCTCTGTGGAGGTGGGGAGAGGCAAGAGAGACAAGGATTTTGGAGTTGCAGCACTTCAGCTCAGGAGCCCAGCTCCAAGAGCAGCACATCCTTCCTCAGACTGCCCCTTGGGAAGGGGCCACTAACCATCAGTGTTTGGGGCAGAGAAGCCCACGGATGTGGGGCGGGTGTGAGGGTGGCCAGGCTGAGCTTAAGGGTGGTTTGCACATAGGGACTGACTTTTCTCCTTTGATCACCCTGCTGCTGGCTGCCTGTCAGGACACCACCTGTAGTCATGCTGAACACAAGTAACTACTCACAACTTGCCAAAAGCAACAACACAATTAAACTCTTTAATCCAACCAGGACTTGTGCATGCAATTAACATCCATGTAAGCACTGCCGGTTTGCAGGCACCCTTCAAGTCCTCTTGTTTGACCCAAAGCCCCACAGCAGGCACTGCAGGAGCTCCCTAACAAAACTTAAACACTGCTGGGTTTTAAGAGTGAAAACTGTATTTCAGTGTAAAGGAAGGAAAAAAGAAAACAAAAAGAACCCAAACCTTTTTCTTCTGGTAACAATTACTTAAGCTTTGGGGGAGGGTACAGGAACAACAAAAAAAATACACCACGGAAAGCTCATTATTTTGACAACTGTGACTAAATCCTCAAAGATTAAAGAACACATCTACTGGATTATAAATGAAAGACAGCCTGGAATATATTATGTAGAATAACATGATAGTCACCTTAAGGAAAATTTTCATGAAAGAGCCACAATCCTTCATATGCGTGTTTTTGCATATATTTGAGGACTTTCCTCTAATCTGTCAAATTCCAAAGCACATTAATCTATTACAAGGTACTTCTGCCTGTCACAGCCCACTTGTATTTAAAAAAAAAACCACCAAATGTAACTTGTACTACTTCCTTCTGCATATCAATTATCATCCAGATCAGAAGCATTTCTTTAATCCACTATTCAAGCACATGCATGCTGTAACCAGGGCCTAGGGATTCAAATGAGACGAAGAAAGAAAATACGGAAGAAAACTAGCCTATAAGCAAGTTTTACTTACTCAGAGAACTCTTCAGGAAAGCATGGAGGCAAATTTTAAGTTTAGGAATATCTGTAGTATTGCAGCACTATTCACTGACATTACTGAATACAGTTACCAGATCAATACCTTGATGACTGCAACTAGAGGTATATTTGCTACCTTATCTCATAAAAACATTTCCATAAAAACATTTCAACCAGTTATTTCAGTTTAGCCCAAACCAGACTGGGATCTTCAGCTTTCAACTCCCCTGTCACCCTGACATTGCTCAGATCCCACAAGCATCCTGAGAAAAGCTAAGAACAACCCAGAGACTAGCATGGAGACAAAAAGCCCAGGACTGCTACAAATCCCTCCTGTGTCCCAGTGAGAAAATCCAAGTATCAAGGTTGGGCCACTAACTGCTGAGAACAGAGCTCCTCCAAAGAGGAAATGTAATCAAGCAACCTAGCTTCATGAAACCAGATGGGAGCATTCATGATACCATCTATACATCCCTACCCTTCTTCAGGAAGGATTTGAATGTATTTCACAACTCTAACTTTCCTACAGCTACAGTATTATACAACTAGCAACACAAGATTATTTTAATAAAGTTTTCATTAAAACCATGGTAATGGTTCTGAATCACTGAATCAATAAAGACAGACGGCACCAGCACTACAAATGTGTGAGACAAAGGGACACAGAACACTAGAGAAAGGAAAGGATGCACAACTGCACAAAGAAAAAAAGCAAATAGCAGCACTTTGGCTTCACTTTTGATTTCCTTAAACCACCACTTTAAGGAAATGTAAAATTTGTATCTACTTGTCACAGGGTGCATTTGCTTAGGAAAGTAAAAAGTCTTTCAGAAGTAGCATTAGAAAATTTTGGCCAAAACAGAACACAGTCTTTTAAGAGCAGAGATCCTTGGGAGCATCAACACATTTTGACTTCAACAAGGTCAGTACTAAGGAGTCTCTCCTCTCACCATACAATCATTATCCATTTTTCTCTTACAAGGTCTTCTTCTACCAGAAAAGGAACAATTCAGAAAATGATGTGCTGGTGCTAAAACCTGAGCAAGAAGAAACAGAAGATGGGCCCCCAAATCTTACTTTAGCTACTCAATGAAAAATAACAGTAAGTAAAGTTTAAACTGACTGTGATTTTGGTTAATGTTCTTAAACAGAACGAATGAAGCACACTGCAAACCAATCAACCAAAACAGCTCACAAAGTCTGCACTGCAAGCTTTGCTTCACAGACATGCCTTATCCAAAAGACTATCAGCTGCAAATTATGTGGAAACTCCTTGTAATGTTAGCATGAGAACTGAATGAATGTCATGCATTTTCATATTCACTGTAACAATACAGCAACCCGAAAAGCTAAAGCTAAAATCAGTATGCTGTATTATATCACCTAACTTCTTAAGAGCGTAGATCACATCTTTTGTCTTGTTTCAGCTATTTATTATTCTGGCATTTCCTTTTTTGACCTTCTCCAATTACAAAAACACCCAGGCATTACTTCGTAGTGTTACGTATTTAGCGTTTTTATTTTCTTGACATTTTTTCCTCTATTGCCTTAAGAAGTGTATGGCATCTTAAAAAAAAAAAAAAAAAAAAGAAGGCAATGTGAAGACACGGAAAGGAAGTGTGAAGACATGCATGTCTTGTGCATACAGAACAAAGTATTTTACCACCATGACAAGGCAGATTCACACTTTTCAGGCTTTCAAGACATTTTAACAAATTATGTCAGTTACTGATAGGTACCAGACCCTGAAGTTTCTTTACTCTCAGAGTAGTCAAATACAAAAGCCACCGTGCCCACACAGCAGAGGTTTTCAGTACCACACCCCCCTCAACACCCCCCGAAATGAACTAGCATTAGATGGAGGAGGAAGAGTACTTTTCATCTCAGCGCACAAGACTGAAAAACAGCACTTCTCCAACCTGCACAGGAAGACGTTTTGCAACTTACTGAAGAAAAGCTCTGGCAGAGGTTACCTGCCCGTCCTGAGTAAGGCTTCTGTGCTAGGAAAACACAAGACTTCAGTCCAAGAAGTCAGACAGAAGC